GCAAACCTTTATCATGGGCCTAGTTGCCCGAACACCTATACAACTTTCTAATAATCAATCAAACATCCCCGATTCAGACTCGACAAGTTATTTAAAGAATTTTAGTTTTCATTTTTTCTTCCTTGGCATGTTCCCATAAACAGCATGTTTACTTTTGTAAATACTTTTGTTCCTGACGGGTTAAGGCCGTAGAATTTTTTGGACCTTTGGGTTTCCAGAATTAAAATGTGATGTGTTATAAACATACAACATTTGAGCATACTTTAGTAACGGAAAGATCAATAACTACACATATGTTATGCATACCAGCTTTTCACAAATAAAATAATATATCTAGTATATATTAGTTCTCGAAAGGTTTTGTACAAAAAAAACATAAACTTAGCCGCTAAAGAAAGTATAGGTTGGCAATTTGTAATGTTCCTAGTGGAAAGTGGGTATTGGGCATATGACTGCCCAGGAACAGGTACCAAAAAGCGCCTCACCCGAACGCGCAACCTTAAGCTTTAACGACGCTCATGCGGTGATGAAAAAATAATGAAACAGGTTTCCCGCCTATGGCATAAACTGCACGTGCATGTTAGCTGTATAAATTCGTTCGTCTGCAGAGTATAACCACACGTGATGAAGGCACACAAAAGAATTGCCACGACTGTCACAGGAGCAGAGAGAGGGAGCCATCGACCCAGGTAGCATGCCATCATGGGCCCTGCATCGGCCCAACGTCGGCTACACCATCGGCCTAACGTCGGCAAACTGCATCGGGCCGATGAAGTTTTGCTCATCGGATCGACATCCGCCCAACGTCGGCAAACGTCATCGGCCCTGCACCGGCCCAGCATCGGCCCAGCGTCGGCAAACATCATCGGGCCGATGAAGTTTTGCACATCGGATCGACATCGGCCCAACGTCGGCAAACATCATCGGCCCTGCATCGGCAATGCAGAGGCCCAGCATTGGCCCAGCGTCGGCAAACACTGTCGGGCCGATGAAGTTTTGCTCATCGGATCGACATCGGCCCAACGTCGTAAATAGTTATCTGGCCAGCCTTCGGCCAGAAATAGGCAACTGTTATGGAATCAGCATCGGATGGACATCGGCCCAACGTCGACAATAATTATCAGCGCAGCAACTGACATCTGCCATTGTCTTAAATAGGCTGATGTCATCAGAAGTCATAACTGACAACATCTCATCTTAATATTTCATGTAAATGATGGCACAATAGAACTCTTCCAAGTGTAGTGTTAGGGTACATAAAACTTAACATTTCTAAAACCTGCAGCTAGCCGTGATGGTTAAGTTACAAAGATAAAAGGTAAAACTAAAAAATACTGAATTTTTAAAAAGATAATATTTTTTTATTATAGTTAATACTTTGAAAACCAAATGTAACTAATATAAATACTTCTAGCTGTACAAAACAATCAAAATGCTTACACTAGTTACAGTACTATTTTTGTATGTACCCTAATACATGTGTATATAATAAACTTTATTATTAATTAATTATTATTTACAAGAAAACAGTGTTACTACCTGCAACAAGGCGGATGTGAAACATATTCTAAAAACCAGTTTTAAAACACAGTCTAAACATATACCCCTCATATTGGCCTGCAAAATTTCATTTATGTGGCTTCAAATTCGTTTGCGAGACAAACTTTTCCCCCTATATTTCATCAAGTTAAGAAGCATGAAGCAAAGGCCATAACTCCATACAAAATAGTTCTTATAACCATCTTCTGGAGTTTGTACCTTAGATAAGCACGGAAAGTTTCATTTATTAACGTCAGTAGTGTCCAAGAGAACCTGGCAGTGTATGTACCAAGTTCAAAAACAAGGGTCATAACCCTGTGAAAAATATGTTGTCAACACCAACGTTTTGGATTTCTTTGTTCCTTTGCAATTCAGCACTTTTGTTTGCAGATTCTCTATCTACACCTCTGTTTTTCAGTACGCGTTTTCCTTATGCCATTTCTAAGCCTTGCTCCTGGAACTCGAAGCCATTCTTTTACACAGGTCACCATGTACTTGCCACTTGCTTGTGAGAGTTCAGCTGCAGGCTTCCTCCTCAGCTTCTGTTTACAAATGATAGCAAAAAATGTCAGTGTGCATATAAGTCATTGCATGCACTCTCACAATTACAAGTAATGGACTTCACAAGTGTGTCAAAACAAGTTATTGATAACATAATGGAATAATAGAATAAGTAATACCCTGTTCACATGGGAAATTAGTTTCACTTTAATAGCCATAGCCAAATCCATTGAAAAGCAGTGAGAAAATCCCCATATTGACATAATACTGAGCAGATCCTGTGAAGTCTGGTCACCACAGAACAGATTTCATTTATTATATGATACCAAAATATATGTAGATTACATCATGGTAAACCAAAACTGCAAATAAACGTGTATCATTAAAAGATCAGATACAAAGGTATGTACATATTACAAACACTTGTATGCAAAAAATAGCAGAAAAGTATTGGGGACAAGTAATTTTATGCACAGTTTCAGGAAAAGGAATAATGATATGAAATAATATATCTTTAGTTAGAATAAATCAAATTTGAAACAAGGCTCTGGGTGTTTTTTCTACAATGGATAATGTCCTGAAAAATCTGTACTGAAGTATCTTCATCAAAGTTTTACAATTAATTTGAATTTTGATTAAATAAATGACATTCTAAATTGTCTTGGATGGATTATATATTTAGCATCATACCTTTAAATAGTACATTTTAATTTTTTTTTAATTCAGTATTTCATCACAAATGTACATCATTCATTACTTAACTAGATAAGACAACCATACCACCCCCACCCCTGCCCCCACCACCACCCCCTAAAAATCCATTCTGAAATAGCCATATCTCAAAACCTTATTTAATCGATACAGATACCATATATCGGTATAGGATTTCTGATCGCTATATAGGCCTAGGTCTATGTAAGGTATCCAAGTAGATCTTGATAAGATTGCCCACACCTGTAATACGCAGTGATCGTTTACAAAAAGAGCTGTCCTTTCATTTCGCCCATTATCCAGAAAATGTTCAAAATTCGCAAGTAACTGTGACATTAAAAAACATCAATTTAAATTTTTTTATTTCAACTTTTTGGTGATCGAAAACTGAACTCGGCAGTGAGCTCCGTTCATCGATTAGAAGGAACATTAGCTGGATCGCATGACATGCACACGCAATGCTGAAAGTTTCCGAAAGCCTCGTTATGAATTTCATGTTCACTGCTTTTTGCGCTGACAGTAATCACAAAGTTGACTTGTAATTTCGAGTTTGTAATCAATTTTCTAACCTCATCCATCCCCACACTTACGCCTGTGACAATGACAAATAAAGCAATGTTCATTCAAAAATACTAATGTAAGTAATTGTTTGGCTATTCATTTGCTTGCCGCTGTAATACTCTCACCCCCAGATTGCGACTCGTTGGTTGAACATCGCTGAATCTGCATGGAAGTAAAACATATCTTGTCATGTTTTGTATTTGCCCTCGTCACCGCGTTTTGCTAGAAATATGTATATGGTGTTTAAAAAATATAAATAGAGAATCTAGCGAGGATGCAGTGTCACGACATATTCCACGGATTTTGTCACTGACGTAGAATTGACAGGAATGTGTTTCTCGAACTTCCAAAACACATAGGCCTAGATTTCTCTACTCACGTTGACACTTATGAATGAACACTGTTTCTCGTTTCAATTTTAAGGTTTGAAAATGGAATAAACACCTCGTAAATACAGTAATGAAGTAAACACTTACCGCAAAATAGGTTTTCCCTCAGCCCTCCACGCATCATCCTTTCGTCGTCTGCTTGAAAAGACGCGCGTGAGCAACAGCGCCCTCAATAACAAGAGTAGCTTCCCTTGAAACATGTTGTGAAAACGTTGGACCAACGTAACATAACCGCTCGAGATATTCCAAACTTTTGCCAACCTCATGTAATTTGCTGAATGAATTGTAAGATGTGACGAATACCGTCTGTATCTTCTCTGTCTGTTGTATATGTGCAACCAAAATGGTCAGTGAATTTGCTTGATCTATTTAATTTAAAAATTAAAAATAAAGTTTATATTTTGAGTTCGAAAAGAATTATTGTATTATTCGTAAATATACTTGATCTATTATTTGTCACATTGTAATCGACAAATGTGTTTTTTTCTTTTATGTTATCATAACAAGATCAAACCATACATCAGGTTCAATAGTGTCAGTGCCAAGCACCAGCATTGGCCTGACAGCGGACCGGTGCAGTTTACTTAAAAGTAGAAGTTTCGAGAATATAATTGAAATAACGAGAATAAAGTCGAAATTACGAAAATATAATCAAAGTGATGAGAATATCAAAAAATCAAATTTTCCAAATTGAGTAGTTCGATGCTCATAAATCACTGGATTGTCTGGTTATGTACAGACTGCCGTCATATGTCTGGGAATTTGCTGATTGTGACGTTAAACAACAAACAAACATAGATGGTGTTTTGAAACCATGCCAAGGATTAGCACGAGTCAACCGAGCTTATAGCTGTAATAGTCTGGTGATGATTCAGGGTTAGAATTGGTCTTGGCGGCATTCCTTGTACATTTGCCGCCAATGCAGCTCGACGAACCTCGGCTAAGTGTGAAGTCACAGAGTGCAGCGAGATGTCAACAAACAGTTTCTTGTCTGTTTCACGATTGGTTACAAACTCTTGACACATTATTAAGACAGACTAATTATATATTACGATATGCAGTGTTCACCTTATAATCACACATCATCTCTATTTACACTCAGTTAACAATTTTCTCACCTGATCACGCGGAGTTCAAACAAAACATATGACAAAATATCTCAAAATATTTTCAACAAGTTTTATTTCTATTCAAACACTACAAACATTCTCACCTGATCCGAGAATATATAACAAGACGACGTGAACGGCACACCACTTGACTTTCTCCAACACAGTCTACACAAACACGACACTGACGTCACTGAGCGCCGAGGGACAGAAGCAGATTCTCCACTCGCCGATGACTAAAGTATCTCGCCCAGGAGACCGCGGTCCGTCCCCCCTTGGTCCTGGCGTTGATGTCCACAACGTTCAGTGACAGCACATACTTCACCGTCTCCACATCACTACCCATACATGCGAGGTGAAGGATGTTGTCATCGTTAAAGGTCAACACAGACACATCAGCTCCTTTCCTCACCAGGAGCTCCACCACTTCTCTGTGTCCCTTCCGTGCTGCCAACAGCACCGGTGTCCACCCATTCAAGTCTTTACTGTTGACGTCAGCCCGTCCTGCTGCCAGGATGCGCTTCACAGCCGCCACGTTTCCCCATGTGCTGGCATCACGGAGGTCGCGGTCTGCTTGGGGGTCTCTACTTGCAGGAGTCGGTGTCGCTGAAACACAAAGTAAACTATGTACACATGTCAGACATCTAGATCTTACAGCACTATTGTTCACGACTTACTGTGAGGATATAAAACACATGATGTATTTTCTGAACATGCAACACATGCATGGCTGACACTAAGACGGTGATTGTCGAGAGAATGACTAGAGCTGGTGAGGATTTACACATGAGGTATTTACATCACCAGAATGTTTCTGTTATATCTTACAGTTCTAACACAGTTGTGTGTATGCCTGGGTAGTGGTTTGTCCACTACAAAATATGTGACATTGTCTCTACCCACCTCGTGTGTCAGGTTTTTCTGTTCTAAAACAGTTGTGTGTATGCCTGGGTAGTGGTTTGTCCACTACAAAATATGTGACATTGTCTCCACCCACCTCGTGTGTCAGGTTTTTCTGTTCTGACACAGTTGTGTGTATGCCTGGGTAGTGGTTTGTCCCCTATAAAATATGTGACATTGTCTCCACCCACCTCGTGTGTCAAGTCTTTCAGTTCTAACACAGTTGTGTCTATATCTGGGTAGTGGTTTGCCCACTACAATACATGTGACATTGTCTCCACCCACCTCGTGTGTCAGGTCTTACAGTTCTAACACAGTTGTGTGTATGTCTGGGTAGTGGTTTGCCAACTACAATACATGTGACATTGTCTCCACCCACCTCGTGTGTCAAGTCTTTCAGTTCTAACACAGTTGTGTGTATGTCTGGGTAGTGGTTTGCCCACTACAATACACGTGACATTGTCTCCACCCACCTCGTGTGTCAGGTCTTACAGTTCTAACACAGTTGTGTGTATGTCTGGGTAGTGGTTTGTCCACCACAATACACGTGACATTGTCTCCACCCACCTCGTGTGTCAGGTCTTTCAGTTCTAACACAGTTGTGTGTATGTCTGGGTAGTAGTTTGCCCACTACAATAAATGTGACATTGTCTCCACCCACCTCGTGTGTCAAGTCTTTCAGTTCTAACACAGTTGTGTGTATGTCTGGGTAGTAGTTTGCCCACTACAATACATGTGACATTGTCTCCACCCACCTCGTGTGTCAGGTCTTACAGTTCTAACACAGTTGTGTGTATGTCTGGGTAGTGGTTTGCCCACTACAATACACGTGACATTGTCTCCACCCACCTCGTGTGTCAGGTCTTACAGTTCTAACACAGTTGTGTGTATGCCTGGGTAGTGGTTTGTCCACTACAATACATGTGACATTGTCTCCACCCACCTCGTGTGTCAGGTCTTACAGTTCTAACACAGTTGTGTGTATGTCTGGGTAGTGGTTTGCCCACTACAATACACGTGACATTGTCTCCACCCACCTCGTGTGTCAGGTCTTACAGTTCTAACACAGTTGTGTGTATGTCTGGGTAGTGGTTTGTCCACCACAATACACGTGACATTGTCTCCACCCACCTCGTGTGTCAGGTCTTTCAGTTCTAACACAGTTGTGTGTATGTCTGGGTAGTAGTTTGCCCACTACAGTACACGTGACATTGTCTCCACCCACCTCGTGTGTCAAGTCTTTCAGTTCTAACACAGTTGTGTGTATGTCTGGAGGGTGGTTTGCCCACTACAATACACGTGACATTGTCTCCACCCACCTCGTGTGCCAGGTTCTAGAGGGATCCGAGACTTCCGTGTTTCCTCCTCTCTGCTCGTGGCTGTGGAGACAAACAGGGTGGTTAGACTTGACTGAAACTCTACTAATGTGTTGACACATTCCCGTATATATATACATTCAACCACTGTGTGGTAAATTTAAGAAATATGTTCCAGACGAACGGATATTTTCTTATAACGACAGAGCTTGCTGATGCTTCTGGTGACTTGACAAACTGTCCAATGTGCACACTGACACTATCACCAGTGGTCCACCGTATTCTCCCACGTACCGCGTAGCTCAGACTCCGGTGTCACCCCAGGGTTCAGTGCCTCCATCTTGGTCGGGTCACTGGAGGCTGCAACACTACTAATATACTGAACCGCAAAATAAGATCACCATGGATAGATATATGACGTTTTACACTTCATGATCAGTACCTACTACACTAGGCTTTCTGTGGAGCTAGTACATGTTGGTCTGATAGACTACTGTCAACTTAAACAATGATAGAGTTACAATTAAGAGCAACGTTTCGATGTAGGTTCTTAGACCGTTATCAAGCAAGTGATATACAGAGTCTGGCTGGCAAGTATATACACATGTTGAAGGCAATGTTTATACAGTAGAGTAGATGTTGTTATATTGGCGGACTTCAAACTAATAGTGTAAACTACCAGCAACTTACAACTTTTCAAACTGTAGATGAAGACTGACCTGGGACATTTTCACAATGGTTATATTATTAATTTTGCCCAAAGCAAACTTTATGCCGTACAAAGAGCACTAGACACGGAATGGTCATTCTAAAAAAAACATAATCAGAACAGTATTATTCTACCAGACAGGCAAGGAGGCGGAAGATTTCAGGTAGGCATTCGACACGAAATACATAGTTCAGTAAATTTATTTGCAGATATACCTTTGATTGAGGAATGAATCAACTTTTAGATAAAAGCATATTACGTGTGTTTTAGAAATAAGTAATAGAAATATACCTAAAAAGATAAATGTGTATTGCTGAAAAACTCCAGAAAGCAGTTGAAAACACTCAGTTGAAATTTAAATATGGTAGAATTTTCTGGGCGCTTACCGCCTATACAGACAGTTTTCCCAGATCTAGTCGCCAAACATCGAAAATTCAGGCTGCAGGTCTTGGATGCACAGGGCCCAGTCTGAACCTTTAAACACAAAGGAAAGGGACCATATGTGTTTGTTGCATTTACTGTGAAGTGTAGGCGGGATTTGGGTAAAGTGGTCGGATTAGATGTTATAGTAAAATAGAATCTGAACCTCTTTCTCATTTTCGTGATTTATTTTGTTGTTTCTGATCTGTCACATATCTGTAATGTTATAAATCACACAATACATTATTCTGCACGTGAAGAAACTCTGAGATAGAACGTCTGCCTTCTAATGAGTACATCGATTTTACAGATGGCGTTCTATGATATTTGAGAAGACACAATGAAAATTATATGAATTTAGATTTTATTTAGCTAGCTGTATCTTTAACTTACATACGAATGATCCTTAGATTCTACGATGAATCCTTCCCTCTTCTTAATTTTCTTTGCTTCATCACTTGACAAACGACAGGTTAAAGTTTCATGATTGTATTCCAAACTCAAACATCCACCCTTTTCATTACATCTTTCTTGGCACATTTTGATGCCAATGTTCCTGATAGTGGCAGAACAAGGCGTCAATTTGTCTACCTTCTGAAGTACACATTGTTCCGTGCTGCATGTGGAAAATACTGACATAAAATAAAATGCCAGGCACAGGTTTCCAGCGTCGCTTGACCACATCAGCGTCATCTTAAAGTGTTTACAGAGGATCCTATAATTCACCACACCCGGTAAGAGAGACTGTCACTTCGTAGATGCAGATGACAAGACTATCTACATGAATGTTTCCAAAGTACCACAGGTAGGTTGAACACTGCTTTTAAGCGGTTTGATACGTCACGTGATGCCACACGTTTCTGGCGTGAAGAGATCAATACAACAACGGACTTACACAGCATATGCTGGCGCTGGCTCTTGTAGAATCTATCGAGTGGCTTACAACTCGGTAACGAAGTGCTCTTGTATATACAGGTAATGTACACCTTGTCAGCTAGGTACACATGTAGATCTATAGACAGGTAAAGTACACCATGCCAGCTAAACACACCTGTAGATCTATGGACAGGAAGTGTACACCACTTCAGCTAGGTGCATACCTAAAGAAGAAGAAGAAGCTTATTTCAGTACAAAGGCCACAGGCCCAAGTAGAGTATATATATATATATATGTGTTTTTTTTATACAAAGTGGTGGAGTTAGTGAGTGAGTGAGTTAAGATTTAAAGTCACATCGGCAATATTTCAGCCATATAGTGACTAAATCAAGTCATACAGTAATAATACATTCACATAGATATTAAAATATATCAACAAAGGACAGTAAAAGTACTAGTCTATCACAGATATAGATTTAAAACTAGCATGTTATCATCAAAATGTGACTACTCTGAACAATACATTATAAAAATGGGCTAGAGATCACCAGCAACCGAAGTTAGGACACCATACTAGGGACCATGGGGACTTACGGTACATCTGCTTCCTGCATGGGACCCCAGCAGGATTTACATCATCCCTCTGGCTACTGGTGATAGTTAGACAGTTGAAGCCAAAATATTTAAAAATAACAAGCATACTACGATTAAAATCCAGGAAAATGAAACATACTTTGGAGGAAGTGGGACTTACGCACCCTCCCAGGAGGACAATCATTTTACGATACTTCAACCCCCTTTGAAGGTACAGCCACAAATAATCACAGTTATCTAATCATTCTACCAAATTAAAACCACTTATTTTTTATTACAATCAAAATTTATCTATTAACTCAATTTCTTTTAAAGAAACAAGAATTAAATGAGTACTGACATTATTAAAAGGATCCTTTAATGAAGATGAATGATAATATTTATCCCTTTTGAGAGAGAAATCGACACAATCAAGCAAAACATGCATGACGGTGATTCTCTCATCACAAGGGATACAGAATGGAGGATCTTTAGCTTTTAACAAATATTCGTGCGTATAACGAGAATGGCCAATACGACATCGTCACAGAGTGACCTCTTCAAATTTTGAATGACAACCCAAGTCAGTGTAACCGATGGTTTGTTTTATGGCATGTAGCTTATTTACACCTACTTGGGTGTCCCACTTCTTTTGCATAAGGTCCCTGATGTAACATCTAATAACAGGTTTAATATCACTGTATGGAATAAGAAGTGGGGTCACAGATTTTTTGAGTGCTGCCTTTGCAGCAGCATCAGCCAGTGTGTTACCCACAATGCCGACATGGCTGGGCAACCAACAGAAGACGATGTAGTATTGGCCAGTGGCAAGGTCATTGTACATTACAAAGTGGTGGAGAAACATCAAGAAGTAGCGAGTTCCAATCAACAAATTAACATTATAATAATGACGAACGTAAATAAAGAATATATTTAATGTATTCAGCAAATAATGACAAGGTTTCAATGTTTGAAATGTGTAGTAAAGTTCTGAGGGAATAAACATTTTATTGTTATTGTTCGGAAAATATGTTTGTCTTAAAAATCATCAGTTTGGCATACTAAAAAATAAATGTTACTTGTCTCCTGTAATAGTTTTAGCTTTTAGGGACAAAATCTAAAGTTTCCAGGTACACCCTCCCGCCGACCTATGATTTTCATAACTTGTAATTCTCCAATAGCTAGGCACATATGTGACATAAAGACATGTAATGTACACCATGTCATCTTGGTACATATGTGGAGATAAAGACAGGTAATGTACACCATGTCATCTTGTTACATATGTGGAGATAAAGACAGGTGATATACAACATGTCATCTTGGCACATATGTGGAGCTTAAGACAGGTAATATACACCATGTCATCTTGGTACATATGTGACATAAAGACAGGTAATGTAAACCATGTCATCTTGGTACATATGTGGAGCTTAAGACAGGTAATATACACCATGTCATCTTGGTACATATGTAGAGCTAAAGACAGGTAATGTACACCATGTCATCTTGGTACATATGTGGAGCTAAAGACAGGTAATGTACACCATGTCATCTTGGTACATATGTAGAGCTAAAGACAGGTAATGTACACCATGTCATCTTGGTACATATGTAGAGCTAAAGACAGGTAATGTACACCATGTCATCTTGGTACATATGTGGAGCTTAAGACAGGCAATATACACCATGTCATCTTGACACATATGTAGAGCTAAAGACAGGTAATGTACACCATGTCATCTTGGTACATATGTAGAGCTAAAGACAAGTAATGTACACCATGTCATCCTGGTACATATGTGGAGCTAAAGACAGGTAATATACACCATGTCATCTTGGTACATATGTAGAGCTAAAGACAGGTAATATACACCATGTCATCTTGGTACATATGTGGAGCTAAAGACAGGTAATGCACACCATGTCATCTTGGTACATATGTAGAGCTAAAGACAGGTAATGTACACCATGTCATCTTGGTACATATGTGGAGCTTAAGACAGGTAATGTACACCATGTCATCCTGGTACATATGTGGAGCTTAAGACAGGTAATGTACACCATGTCATCCTGGTACATATGTGGAGCTAAAGACAGGTAATGTACACGATGTCAACCTGGTACATATGTAGAGCTTAAGACAAGTAATGTACACCATGTCATCCTGGTACATATGTGGAGCTAAAGACAGGTAATATACACCATGTCATCTTGGTACATATGTAGAGCTAAAGACAGGTAATGTACACCATGTCATCTTGGTACATATGTGGAGCTAAAGACAGGTAATGTACACCATGTCATCTTGGTACATATGTAGAGCTAAAGACAGGTAATGTACACCATGTCATCTTGGTACATATGTGGAGCTTAAGACAGGTAATGTACACCATGTCATCCTGGTACATATGTGGAGCTAAAGACAGGTAATGTACACGATGTCATCTTGGTACATATGTAGAGCTTAAGACAGGTAATGTAAACCATGTCATCTTGGTACATATGTGGAGCTAAAGACAGGTAATGTACACCATGTCATCTTGGTACATATGTGGGGCTAAAGACAGGTAATTTACACAAGGTGAATTTGATGCATGTGTAGAGTTGTAGACATATAATGCACATCAAGTGGCCTGTGCACATGTGTAGACCTATATACAGGGAATTTACACCATGTCAGCTAGGTACATATGTGGAGCTAAAGACAGGTAATGTACGACAAGTCAGCTGGATGGATATGTACAGCTATAGATAGAGTTAAAATGAAAATTTGAACTCCATGTGTATGACAAAGGGAGATTGTAGAGTCTATACGAAGAAGGTGTCATGTTTGTAATAAACCTATCATGGAACTGTTCTGGGTGAACAATACCTTCCAAATGACGTGCTGGTTTTCTTGGGGAATTAGTCAGCAAAGAGCCAGAGTCACAGGAGACTAATCACAATTTTATTTACAAGAACAATTAACAATTTACAATATCTTAGAATATAACTGAGGTGCCACAGAGAGTCGGTACACACTCTGGGCTGTGGGAGAGAGGTCTGCTTGGTAAGAGAGTCAAACCCCTTCTCTGCCTAAAACCTGCCTACAGTATGTATTTAACAAAAATTTAAACAATAGAAAGGAATGTGATTGGTTGATACACGATTGGTTGTGTCCTAAGCTAAATGGATGGCTAGACAGAGGGGAATACTAAATCCTGTTTATCCTGTTGGACTGGCACTAATGTTGTTGACATATTTACTGGATGCTTTGAAAGAGATTAGGGTGTCACTATAGATGAGCTTGTGTGGGGGCTAATCCTTAATGCCCTATAGACGAGCTTGTATGGGGGCTAATCCTTAATGCACTATAGACGAGCTTGTATGGGGGCTAATCCTTAATGAGTCTTAATTGAAATAATGTTATTCTAATATACCCCGGTGGGTGATGACAGATATACTTAAATAAATATCCTTTGTCTGGGAGATGGGATCTTGATACCTTAGGCTAGCATTTATCTAAAAGCTTTAAATCAATTAAACTATGTAGATGTAACTCTTGTCTTATTGAATAGTATGTCTAGAAGATGCGCTCCCATTACCTTAGGCTAGCAACCATCTAAAAAAAGCTTTAACTGAAACTACTGATATTTTATATATGCATTTTACCTAATGATATTTATTACTTAAACTATAATTATATGAAATGATGTATAAATATTACACCATGATAACTCATAAAAGCACTTGATGTAGATCTAATTATTATAAGATAACTTAGTATAAATGTTATCCCATGATAACTTCCCCTCCATCTGAAAATGTTTGGACCCCAAACGTGTAAAATAAAAATAATTAAGGCTTAGATGGACAATGTATAAAGTTATAAACTGGTAGTAGTGAATAATAATTATTATAGAGTCTCTTTTATATCAGGAAACATAATATAAAAATGCTGTCATCAGGGAATCTGGATGTGGAGCTGGCTTGTCTTGGCACTCTACTGGTGGTTTATGGGTGATGTAAGAGGCCTTGAGTTCCACATCCTGGCTTGAGGTTTAGGATTGTTGGCTGTGTCCATGGAGGTTTTACATGGAAACAAAGAAAAGAGAGTTAGCATGTTCATATAATATGTCATATATAAATACTTCCTCAGTTTGTCTGTAATAACTAGAAAATAAAACAAATATGATAATAATGATGTAAAAGATCGGTACATAATTATTACTAAACGGTGTCATGACCAGGAAGTATTGGCGGCAAATTACAAAAGTATATCATGAAAAATAGAAATATCTCTATTTTTGGATACAATCATTAGACGCATTATATATACATATATGTGCATGTGCATATAACAAGTGCATTGGTTTATTACACTAATACGGTATACAAAAGGTGTATATCCTTTTTAGAATTCTTTGTTAGTTTTCGTAACTATTTGGTTTGCCTTTTCTTTGTTTTGGTTCATGTCAGTTGTTAGGTTTGGTTTATTTCAATTTGGTTTGTTTCGCTTCGCTTCGTTTCGATTTTCGTTCAGTTCAATTTGGTTCAATGCAATGCGGTTCAGTTTCATTCGGTTTGCTATATAGTTTGATTTGCTTCGGTACGATTCGCAGTATGGGTTGCTTTGGTTTGGTTCCTTTCATTTCAATTCGCGATAAGGTTCGGTTTCGTTTCGATTCACGGTATGGTTTGGTTTGGTTCACTTCATTTCGATTCGTGATACGGTTCGTTTCAATTCGGTTTGATTCGCTTTTAGTTTTCATTTCGATTCGCGATAAGGTTCTTTGGTTTGGTTCGTTTCACTTTGTTTTTGAGATTGGTTGATCAGGTCAATGCTCAAAATTTGTTGTGATACAAATAACTCAGATGATCAGGCTGATGCCATTTGTTCTCAACTGGCGACCCATAGTGAAAAGACTGGACACAAGAAAACATAACAAGATACAGCTAATAGCTGTTTCGTGATTTGCAACGTTTATTCAGGAGATTTTGTATTTTGATCAAGAATATGTGCAATTGGCATTGTTTGGTATGTACGGTAAGGTTATCATAGTATGGTAGAATACCGTTTGTGAGTGAAATACGGTAGGAAAAGGTGTTGATGTTTTCATGGTCTTTATGTGGAAAAATAACCCTTTTGGATTTATAAATTGGTGGTTCCTCTGGATCATATCGAGGATTATCTTCTAGACCCAGCCACTCATGGAGATCGTTCCAGCTATCATCAGGGTAGCGCTGTATGAGGTGGGGAGGAACACTTTCGAAATAGCATGTGAATTGACCAGGATATTCTTTATATGAGACCTTGACATAGCAGTCTCCTTGAATAATTTCAATGCCCATAACTCTTTCCATTTTATGATCTACTTTTCGTAGGTGTTTTGGAAAAAACGGATATGGTTTGACATCTAATTCTATGCATGGTTTGGTGTTGTCTTGCTCGACATTTCCTGACATTGTATTCCCTGACAGAACATTGACTGATTTATTGTCTGATTCCTTTTGGTCGAAAAACTTATGATTCTTCAGTGGACGTTTTCGTCGTTTTCCTGACATACTTCTTTTGAGGTGAAATTCTCCCCGAACGGAGTCTGGAATGCTGCTGCCATACTCCCATGTGTTTCCTCTTTCTGGATCCTTCCATTTTACTCTGTAGTAGATTTTGCCATTTGCTCTCTTGGAACTAACAATTGAGTGGATGTCCTCTGGATTGAAGACCTGAGGGATGTCCTTGGTTTGATTACCTGATGTTGGACTTGGAGGTTGTACCTGGCTGTCGTCGGGTTGTTTTCTGGATTTGGGCTGGTGATGCTTACTATTCACTCCTCTTTTCCCTTTATTTACCTTTTCATTTACCTTGGTTGGAGCACTAGGACCTGGTGTGGCATGATTTTCCTTCATGGTTGCCGTGGGACTGGTAGGTTTTTCTGTTGTACTTGAAGCAGGGTTTTTCTTCTTTGTTGGGGTCTTTTGCTTCTGACTCTTGTTGCTGGAAGTACCTGCCTTTGTTTTGGAATTGACCTTCTTACCTTTCTGTTGTGGAGGTGATTGATCAGTTGCCTGGTAAGTTGAACTTGTTGGTGGGGAATTGTTGCTGTCAAGATGAGTATCATTGACTGGTTCCTCGTTGTCATCCATGACTCCTGAATCTATGTTACTGGGGTTATTGAGGTATGGTTCTGGAGGATACTGTGGACGATCAGCAGGATCAAAATATGGCTTCAGACGGTTGGCATGGACCAGTGGTTTGTGTATTTTGCCGTCAGAACATCGGCGCAGTTTGTAGGTATAATTTGGACCTGTATGGATGATATAATAGCTACCATACCACTTTTTGGTTAATTTGTTGGAAAGGCCTTTTTCAACTTTTTGACAGTAAAGCCAAACTCTTTGACCTGGGGCGAATTCTGGTTCTTTAGCCTTTCTATTATATTGTTCTGAATACACCTCCTTAGCCCGAGCAGTGTTTTCAGCTGCGATTGTTCTAGTGATTTCAAGCTCCTCAAGCAAATTGGAAAGATAACTTTTGTTATTGTGGCCTAAATTTTCTTTTGGAATTAATGCTACATCTTGTGGAGCTCTCATTTCCCGGCCGAAAAGCATAACATATGGGGATTTTTGAGTTGATGAATTTGGAGCCATCCGATAGGCCATCATGTTTCTTGACTAGGATAATGGGAGCTGAATACATAGAAGTTGACTCCTCGATCAAATCATACTTCAGAAAATCATCTATAAGTTCTTCAGTGACTTTTTGGAGATGAGGAGATTGACGATATGGTATACTCTTAACGGGTGGGTGGTTGCCAGTGTCAATGATATGTTGGTGCAGGTCAGTTTTACCTAAATCTGCAAGACTTGTTGAAAACATGTTTCTATTTTGTCCCAAAAATCAAAGTAGTCTGTGTCGTTGGTCTGGAGTCAGTTGTGTATTGGTCAAATCAAATCCTAACTCCTGTGCAATTTTGACATAATCCCTGGTGTCATTGTCTCTCTTCTCATTGTCGGTGTTAACGGTACTGATGAATGGTTGGTCAGAGCCGATTTCAAAAACAGAGTCTTTGTCAATGTAACTAAATTTGCCTACAACTGTACCCTTGTCAAGAACCTTTTCTTCTTGGGAGGGATTCATAAGCCTAAATGTAGCAGTCTTGCGTTTTGATTAAGAAAGAGTTCTACCGCCTGCTACTTCAGAATGAGCAGTGAGGGAAGCAATGGGTTCGATGAGGATGAGGGAATCCTCTTTGGTCTCTGATAGTCTGACCTTGAAATGAATTTCACTCTGAGGGGGGATGTAAATCTGATCTATTGTTTTTGCTAATCCACTAATCTCATGCACTGAATTGGCTATGAAATTGATATATTGCCTATCTGAGGTGCTGTTGTTAAGTATCAAGGAATGACAGCTATAATCTAAGACTGCATCATTGTCATCAAGGAAGTTCTCACCTAGTATCACTGCCTTCGGCAGTGTAGGCAGTACATAGAATCTTTGAGAAAATTCCTGATCCTCAATGACAAAATCTAACACAACTGAACCTAACACTTTATGCAATTCGCCGCCAACACCTTTTACCTGTGGAAAGGGTGAGTTTCCAAGAGTAAGGTTTTCAAAAGCTGTGCTCAGAAAAGCAGACGAAATACAACAAATGGATGCCCCTGTGTCTACTAAACAATTTGTTGTTGTTGTGCCAAATTTTGCCTGAATTACACTTTTGGCAAGGGGCGTAACTTTCAAAGTCCCCAAACAATACCATTCCCAGTCTAAGGGGACAGTTGTCTCATCTCAAAGACTGATGGTGGTTTAACATGCATTCCCAATATTATGGAAAGTTATATCATTTTCTTTGACTAAAAGTTACTTTCCATACCAGACTCCATATTTGCCATGACACCTATTAGTATGTACCGTTCTAATTTAAAGGATGACAAGAATTTCAACAATGTATTACTTACAATATTTGAAGACTTTTTCTTCCTTTGTTGGTGTCTTTGGAGGAGTTGGTTGTCTTTAATCCAGTGTTGAGGTCAGTACATAGAAAGTGTAAACTGTACATACTAGGATGGGAAGCGAGAACGAAATAAAATAATGGACCTAGATTCTGTTTCTGTTATTTTCTCTGGACAGTTTAGCCAGTGTTAGCAATTTGGATGACTTCGGTGTAACAAACCAATATACTGATCAGTTAACTGAGGAAGGGTATATATCATTAGGAACATGTGGATGATTGGTCTAGGTTTGACGAAACTTAATTAACACCCGTTGAATCATCTTATAGTTTCTAAACGGAATCTACAATAAGTAATAAACATAATGTGCTCGATAAGCTGTAAGAATTTAGGTGATTACGATGATCGTTGCTTCCAAAATGATGTGCTAGAACTCGCCGATGTATTCGAGACATTTAGAAAGACCTGTTAAAATGTAAATGGCTTGAATCCAGCATAGCACTATCCCAGTCCCGGATATTCCCATCATCTGCGCCACCATCAACCCAACATTGTTGTCATGTACAGCACCATCAAACTAACAGCCCCATCACCTGTATGACCATCAACCCAAATAATCACATCACCAACACCACCATCAACCCAACATTGTCGTCATGTACAGCCCCATCAAACTGACAGCCCCATCACCTGTATGACCATCAACCCAAATAATCACATCACCAACACCACCATCAACCCAAAATTGCCATCAGGTTCACAACCATCATTCCAATCACCACCACCACCATCTTCTCAACATTCCCACCATCTACACCACGACCTACTCACCAATCCCATCAGGTACACCTACACCATCAACGTAAACATCCCCATCGCCAACGCTAAACACCTACATCACAACACAACAGTCCCATCAGGTACACACACCCATAAAACTAAAACGTTCCATCATGAACAGCACGATCAACCCTTCATTCCCATCACCTACACGACTACCAACCGAACATTCCCATCACCTACACCACTGCCATCCCAACATTCCCATCACCAACACACCACCAATCCAACATTCCTATCACCTACACCACCATCAACCCAACATTCCCATCACAAACACAACCATCAACAATCTCTTCCCCTAAACCACTATCACCCATTCATTCCCTTCCCCAACACTACCATCACCCCAACAGTCCCCTCCCCTACATCACCCCAAACAGTCCCTTCCCCTACATCACCATCACCCCAAAAGCCCCTTTCCCTATTCTACCATCATCCCAACAGTTCCTTCCCTAACACTACTATCACCCCAAACAGTCCCTTCCCCCACACCACCATCACCCCAACAGTCCCTTCTCCTACACTACCATCACCCCAAAAGCCCCTTTCCCTATTCTACCATCATCCCAACAGTTCCTTCCCTAACACTACTATCACCCCAAGCAGTCCCTTCCCCTACATCACCTTCACCCCAACAGTCCCTTCCCCAACATCACCATCACCCCAACAGTCCCTTCTCCTACACTACCATCACCCCAAAAGCCTCTTTCCCTATTCTACCATCATCCCAACAGTTCCTTCCCTAACACTACCATCACCCCAAATAGTCCCTTCCCCTACGTCACCATCACCCCAACAGTCCCTTCCCCAACATCACCATCACCCCAACATCACCATCACCCCAACAGTCCCTTCCCCTACATCACACCAACAGTCCCTTCCCTAACACTACCATCACCCCAACAGTCCCTTCCCCTACATCACACCAACAGTCCCTTCCCTAACACTACCATCACCCCAAAAGCCCCTTTCCCTATTCTACCATCTTCCCAACAGTTCCTTCCCTAACACTACTATCACCCCAAACAGTCCCTTCCCCTACATCACCATCACCCCAACAGTCCCTTCTCCTACACCATCATCACCCCGACAGTCCTTTCCCCTACATCACCATCACCCCAACAGTCCCTTCCCCAACATCACCAACCCCAACAGTCCCTTCCCCTACACCACAATCACCCCAACAGTCCCTTCCCCTACATCACCATCACCCCAACAGTCCCTTCCCCTACAATACCATCTTCCCGACAGTCCCTTCCCGTACAGTACCATCACCCCAACAGTCCCTTCCCGTACACCACCATCACCCCAACAGTCCCTTCCCGTACACCACCATCACCCCCACAGTCCCTTCCCCTACATCACCATCACCCCAACAGTCCCTTCCTGTACACTACAATCACCCCAAAAGCCCCTTTCCCTATTCTACCATCATCCCAACAGTTCCTTCCCTAACACTACTATCACCCCAAACAGTCCCTTCCCCCACACCACCATCACCCCAACAGTCCCTTCCCCTACACCACCATCACCCCAACAGTCCCTTCCTGTACACCATCATCACCCCAACAGTCCCTTCCTGTACAGCACCATCACCCCACCAGTCCCTTCTCCTACACCACCATCACCCCAACAGTTCCTTCCCCTATACCACCATCACCCCAATAGTCCCTTCCTGTACACCATCATCACCCCAAACAGTCCCTTCCTGTACACCACCATCACCCCAACAGTCCCTTCCCGTACACCACCATCACCCCATCAGTCCCTTCTCCTACACCACCATCACCCCAACAGTCCCTTCCCCTACACCACCATCACCCCAACAGTCCCTGGCTGTACAGCACCATCACCCCACCAGTCCCTTCTCCTACACCACCATCACCCCAACAGTCCCTTCCTGTACAGCACCATCACCCCACCAGTCCCTTCTCCTACACCACCATCACCCCAACAGTTCCTTCCCCTATACCACCATCACCCCAACAGTCCCTACCTGTACACCACCATCACCCCAACAGTTCCTTCCCCTATACCACCATCACCCCAACAGTCCCTTCCTGTACACCATCATCACCCCAAACAGTCCCTTCCCGTACACCACCATCACCCCAACAGTCCCTTCCCCTACACCACCATCACCCCAACACTCCCTTCTCCTACACCACCATCACCCCAACAGTCCCTTCCTGTACAGCACCATCAGCCCACCAGTCCCTTCTCCTACACCACCATCACCCCAACAGTTCCTTCCCCTATACCACCATCACCCCAACAGTCCCTTCCTGTACACCATCATCACCCCAAACAGTCCCTTCCTGAACACCATCATCACCCCAACAGTC